TCAACATCGTCGCCGTCTTCTTCGGAGTCGCCCGTCGCCTCCGCGGTATCCAGCAGCTCCTTCCACTCAGCCTCGAGCCCCGCCAATACCGCGGAATCTCCCCTGACCTCCCTTCGCGTCACTTCCACCGCGTCATTCGCATCCTTCGCTCTACCCGACCTCAGCAAGTGTTCCGCCAGAGTCATGACCGCCACCACCCGCTCGCTGGGCGAGGTGCAGACGGATCGCCAGGCTTCGTAAGTCGCCTGTACGGCTTGCCGGTCGGAACCGGCGGCAGAAAGGAGCCCGAATGCGCGGTGGTAAAAGAGAGGCGAGGGGCGATATGTCGATTGGATTTCCTTCAATCGGGCGAATAAGTCGGAAGCGCTCTCTGCGGAGTGTTGCAGGTAGGCGAGTAACAGCCGCGAGTGCAGTCCCGGGACAACGTTGCCGAGTCGCAGACTCTCGCGGAGGATCTTGCGGATCATGGCATTCCCGACTTTGAGATCGGACGCGGTATGTCGTCCAGTTGACTCCGCGTTGAACCAAGCCAGCCAAATAGCGATCACGTCCTCGTGATCGGTGGAAGACAAGCCCGACCGAGTCACAGCCTTGACAATGGTCTCGAAGGCTGGCTTGGGCAAGTTTTCCCCATGCTCGAGCTCGAGTACCAGAAGGCGACGTTGCAGGCCTGGATGAGAAGGGTGGATGGCTGCGTGCGCGCGGGCCGCTTTGAGGACAGTGGCGCCGCCCGCTGCGTGACCGAGCACGTCGAGGTGGAGGAGCAGCATAGCCGGTGATGGCTTTCGAGACGCTTTGGTGAGACTGGTGAGGATTGATAGGAGGTAGTCTCTCTACAGTGAACATCAGCACTCGTCACCAAGCGTACATGGCAGTGACGCACCAGATCCTTGTTGTCTCCGCATAACTCAATCTGCTTCGCGAGCCAGCCTCCTGCAACGTCCACCCAATCTCCCGCCGTGTCCTCCTTGGACGCCTTTCTGATCTCCTTGCCGATCCCGCCCAGCTCCTCCACCAGGTACACACCCTCCAAGACAACCCCACCGTCATCACGCCGTTCCGGGTCGTAAGGTCGATCATACAGCCCTTTTGTGAGAAGCAGGAGTCTTGCCCGTGCGGCGTTTCTTCCTCCGGCTTTGCTTCCCGCTTCCAACTCGTCATAAACCACCTTCAAGCATCTCGTTCTCAGAGGACTGGGATAAGATCGCAGCATCGTCAAAAGGCTCTCGCGGAAGGCAATGCCGTCCCCCTCCTCTTCTGGTGGTGCGTTGAGGGGAATCGCCTCGAGTGCCGATGTCAAAGCGTGAACCACGAGCTGTCCCGCCAAAATCGCTTTTCTCGCCTCTTCGCCCTCCGGTCCAAATGCCCCTTCACCACCGATCAGCGCTTCCGGATCGCCCTCGAAATCTACCTCGGATCTCGAAGTCGAGCTCGCAAGCTCGTTCTTGATCCCCAAAACTCGCCATCGCCGCCGGAGAGCCTCGACCCAGCCGAGCTCGAGCTTGACGTATTCCGTCCACAGATCCCGGCTACCCGGCACCATACGAAGCCCGAGTAGCAGGGTCGTACGCGCTGGCTGGGTCCCCTCCAGAGCAAAGCCGGTGTCGTTCTCCTCGGATGTGGAAGGAAGGTCGAGATTGGACGTAGAGGGGATGGCAGAGCGAGGGAAAGGTGAAGACGGATGGAGATGGTGATATGAAGAGAGGAGGTACAGCGTTGGAGATAGAGGATGATGCTGTAGTGCGCTGAAGAGAATTTAGCGAGAAGAAACACCCCCTGACTCGAAAAGCTACACACCTGTTCAACCCCTTCGCTACCACCTTGCGCATGCCCTCTCGACTCGCATACTCGACGTACGCCAGCCATACCGCCAAATCGCCCGGAAACTTCTGCGTAGCCCGCTTGAGGATGTACAGCACTCTCCGGGGCAGCGAGAACGTCGAAGCACTCGGCGGCGGGGGATTACGATCGTATCCTGTTTCGCCCATCAGCCTCTTCTCTGCGACCTTCCCATTCTCAAGCGGCGCTCGTGCTCGCGCTCGCGCTCACCCAGTCGTTTCCACCGCACTCGCCGCAGCTTTTCCAGATTGATCTCGTACTCTGCATACTTGAAGAAATCCTCCTTCCGCGTGACCCGTCGGACCAATGACGTCTCCAAAGCCGTTCGCCGACGAGTGATCTGATCGATCTCATTCTGCGGCAATCAGCTCCTGTGCAGTGAAATTGCTCTGGTCTACGTCCAGAGGGGTATGGTGACTGACCTTTGAGAAGAGCCCCTTCTCGTGGAGGTCCTTGAGCTCGGGAAGAGTCGATTCGAGCTGGAATTGGACCTTCTCCATCTTTGATATTCGACTCTGTGTACCTGGGAACCTCTCCAGTAGCCAAAGTGCCTAAGCAGGTCGAAGCCGAGGAAAGGAGAGATGGATGGGTAGCATATGGATGCCAGCAGCAACAACACCACACCAACTTTTTGCGACACACCATGACGTGGCTTTTTTGATCCCGTCGCAACTCACCTCGGCCAAAAGTCGAGGTGTTTCCTCAACCCACATCTATCCATCTATCTCTACGTCCTTGTAAGTCGCCACACATAAGTCAGCGACATGCAGTCAAGAACCGTCGCACGCGCCGCTAGAGCCGGCTCAGAGACCGTTCGACTCGGTGCCATTCGCGCCTCGTCTTCGTCGGCTGGGCCCTCGACCAACCGTCTCCCCTCCGACCCCTCCGACCCCTCCGACCCCTCCGACCCCTCCTCCAGCCGATCTCAATCCAAACTCAACCCGGCCCTCCGCTCCCTCGTCGAGCTCCACCACACCTCTTCCACCTTCCTACACGATGCCAACCAGGTGCCTCACGGTTTCGAGAATGCGTTCCGAAACACACTCCCACCGACTTTCTCGCGATACGACTCGTGGGCCAGCGACGTTCACGCCAACCGTTCCGCACGGGGCGTGGGCGGCGTGGAATCCCTCACTGCTCGCGCATCGCCAAACTCGACGGGCGGGATGCTGGCCCGAGGAAGGTCCGCGACACCCGCCAGGATGACCAATACCGTCTGGAGGGAGAGGCAGCAAAACTGGTCAGAGCAACAACACGGCGGACAGCTCCTCGAATCGGAGAGGGAGTTGAGGGTCAAGGAAGCGCTCTACGGGACGTGGGAGAGGGGAGGCGTGGGCAAAGTTGACCCGGCCCTGGATGGTGTGCTGGAGTTGGTCGAGGCCAAGGGCACGACTGTTGAGGAGTATGCGCAGGAATGGCTCCGGCGCGAGAAGGACTAGGATCAGGCGACGGAGTAGGCACAGGCTCAGCCTCGAGCGGCGTCGGTAGAGACCAGAGGAGCTGATCTGGCTTCAAACCTATTCCATTATGGCCCTGTGCACAGATGATTATATGTATTCTGCATATGGACCGAACCGCGTCTGCCATATCACCTTGAGAGAGCGATGCGTTTGACGGTTCGCCAATGTTTGATATCCTCCACGTCCGAAACCGTTAAGACACGGTATGGTCCGCCGATTCCGCCGATTCCACCCCTCTCAGCGCCTCCCTGGGACCTGCTGCACTCGCTTGTCGCCCTTCTCCATCCGTGCACGAAGCTTGGCCTGCTTCTTGGACTCGCCGTCCTGCTTGGCCTCCTGTGGTGTGCCATTGGCTTCCCGCGGCGCATTGGACCCGAAGACCCCAGGGAGGACCATTGCCAGGATCGGTCGGAAGGTGGCCAGGATCTTGTACAGCCCAAGGCCGGGGATCTGCGAGGTTTTGTCAGTGACCAGTGTGGGAAATAATCAAGGGGCTATAGGGGCAGCCCGGGAGTCGTGGACGTACAAGGAGCCACAGCCACCATGCGCGGTCACCGAAGATAGCGCTCGCTCCGATGCAAAGCCAGGTGCCAATCAGGCTATACCATCAGCTCGGACGCAGATCGGGGGACCACTTCATGATCGGACGCTATTGCCGACGCCGCAGGGAAGAACATCCCGCTGAAGTGAAAAGCGTGAGTCCGATCCGCCCACTCACATGTCCCAGGCAAACTCGATGATACCGCCCGCATCCAGGTCCTGCTCGACAACGAGCTGACCGCTCTTGTCCTTCCTCGGCGTCCCGATGGCAGCGAACCACCTCCAGATGGCGATCGTGAGCGAGTAGGTAAGGGCGTGGACGATGAGAATCTTCTTGCTCGGCACGAAGGTCCGCGAGGTGATGAGCGATGCCAGGAATCGGAATATGATGCTGAAGATCTGAACCGAGTCGTGGTGTCAGCATCAACGATGCTTAGACGTGGGCTGTCAAAGACCTACAGTGACGAGACACATCCTCCAAGGGATGAGCATTAGATTCTCCTCATTGTTGCGCGCTATGCGCTTGGTCGACGCGTTGGCCTGCGATCAGGCATGTCAGCGAATGATTACGCGGATCTCAACAGCGATAGCGGTACACGCCGAGGGCGACTGACCATGATATGTGATGGATCTTGCTGTGCAACACCTGTTTGCGCAGATGACAACGGCGGAGCGATGAAATGGGATGAGGATAGCTCATGAGGCGCGAGAGATGTTGCCGGATATAGGCGACGCCGCGCGGGAGCAAATGGCTTTACACCGTGTTCAACTGGGTTTACTCTCCTTGGACTTTACTTTCTTTTAGTTGTACGCTTGATGCCCCTTCGCGTCTACCAACATAGCCAGGGCACCGCATGAGCAGTACGATTACTAGCTACACCTCGTCCGATGTCTGTTTCCTACCCTCGTCGCCGGTCTCAGACCTTCCGATGTGGCACCTCCTTCCACAGACAGCCGGCTCAACTTCAGCCAGGAGTCAGTGTGTTTGTGGCTTACGGGTCTGATCGCCTGGCTTCCAATCTATTCCCCAGAGTCGAGGCGAAGTCTCCTTGCCCTCGCTGGTCGCTAAACTCGCAGAGGGGGGCAGCGGACCCCAAAAAGATCCCCACTCTTGTGAAACACAAACGTATATAGTTGTCAAAATACGCCCAAGTTGTTTGGGCGATACTGGCCGAGTGGTTAAGGCGTTGGATTTAAGGGACTTCCCTTTTGTTTCCCAATGGGTTTCATCCCGCACGAGTTCGATCCTCGTGTATCGCATGTGACTTTTTTTTTGCACATCTTGTTGGTCTCCTGCATGGTTTGTCGCCACAAATCCGTGAAAAGACGCTTGGAAACGGCGAGGAGGAAGAAGATGGAGGTCGGACGGTGCCACAGTCGGGTGCCACAATTAATTGGTTCCGGATTATTTTGGTTCCGGCTCATTGGCATCACTTTCATTTGGTGGAGGCTGTCCAACTAATTCTCTCTCTCCCTCTCTTTCTCTGTGTCGTTAGCAGACATATGCGGCTCTCCCTCCCCACCCTCAAGCAATCCTCGTCGTCGAAACAATGGCTCTCCCGCCAGTCCCGCGATCCATACGTCAACGTCGCCTCTGGGGTGAGCTCCGGACCGATCTACCGCGCGCGCTCGGCCCACAAGCTCGTCTCCCTCTCGGCGCGGTACCCCTCGCTCCTGCGACCGGGGACCCTGGTCGTTGATCTCGGAGCGGCGCCGGGAGGGTGGAGTCAGGTCTCGGCGCAGAAGCTGCGTGGGAAGGGGATGGTCTGGGCGGTGGACCTTCTGGGTATGGACCGGGTTCAGGGTGTGGAGGTGATCCGAGGGGATTTCCTCTGTCCAACCGTCCAGGAGGATCTGAGGCTACGGATCGCGGCGTATCGCGGATCGGCCCGGACAGAGGAGGGTAAGCTTGGAACGACTGGCGAAGAGGAAACATCGATATTGAGAGATAACAACCATCACGCCGATTTGCTGGACGCCGACGCCCTGGCGGTCGACACGGTGCTGAGCGACATGATGGCGCCGATGTCGGGTGTGAGGCTGCGGGACGTCCAGGCGAGTCTGGACCTGGTCATGGCAGCTACGACATTTGCGAACAAGGTGCTCCGCCCAGCGGCACCGGGCGAGGAAGTGGTCGGTATGGGAAAGGCAAAGGTCTACCCGGGCGGCAACTTGGTGTGAGTGGTTTATCTTGGCCGCGGACCGAACTCCTACATCTAGCTTTCTTGCTCGCTTCCACCTCTACCATCGCTCTTCTCTCTCACAGCCTATATTACGAGCTCGTTGCTGCCTCTGCGCCTGGGATATGGTTCCTAACCGATACACACAGCATGAAGTTCTTTGCCCACCCGGACCTCGACGCGTTCAGGAGACAGGAGCTGGTCCCCCGGTTCGCAAAGGTCGCAGTGGAGAAGCCCAAGGAGTCCCGAGCCGGTACGTCGCGGGTGTCGTGAACGTCAATACTGCGTGATTCGTGGTTGACGGGTCTCGCAGAATCCAGCGAGGCATATTGGGTCTGTCTCGGCTTCAAAGGAGGCGCGTGATCACGCTCCTCGTTTCTCGGCAACGCGCCGTATCACTCGCACACGCCGCCGCGGAGGGATCCGCGCACATCATGCGAGTGCGGCCAAACCGGCCTCGAAGTACTACCACTCACCAGCTTATCGTCCTTGCGACTGCTTCTTGTCTCCCGGTTAATAATACCGTGCAAGACATCGAACATGGGGCGAGTTCGGTGCCTATGCCCGTTCGATGGGTGCTCCAGGTCATTCGGTCGGTACGAGCGGCTCCAGCGTCATCTGCTAGCATGCCGTGAGTATCTGGGACCGCTCGCGCTCGCCTGCGTTGGCTGACGAGAGCAGACGCTTCGCCCTCTCACCATCGCGAGGTCCTGCCTGCGACGTCCAACGCGAGCAGCTGCGACATTCACGCCAAGAACGCAAAGAGAGCTTCATGTGACGATGGCGACGTTGGCGAGGCTGCGCAACCTGCGGTCTCGACGAAACAAGCAATGAAGCGGAGAAAGAGGCAGAAGGTGACCAAGAAGCTGTACGTCCGACACGCCTCACTGTTCTCCGCTGCGAGAGGATAACGGAGGACAGAGAGTTGAGGTGATGCAGCTCACTGTGCTGACGCCGCAGACTTAGCGAAACCTCTGATCGGAGAGAAAGTACCATCCCGGCACCCCCTCAGGAGCCTGCACCGCTGGTCATTGACCTCCGCACCCCGTCCCCCCTCCGTCCTCCGTTAACGACGACACCGCCCTCCTCGCCCATTCCGCATCGACTCCAACTCAGCAATCCCCCAAGCGCACTCTTTCGCGCGTGCCGACCTGGGTAACCAGTTCAACGTCGACGTCTCGTCAGCCAAGTCCTGCTCAAGACCACATCGACGAGCTTGACAGTGACAACGACGGCGACGGCGACAAAGACGGCGAGGGGCGCATGTTGGTTGGTGCTCTCGAGGCGCGTGATTACCATTTTCAAGAGAAGACTGTCGCCTCGATCCGATCCGGACTCGCCGGATCGCCATTCGATAGGCTAGGAGGGATGTGTCGGCGTCGGCCGATCTCACTTTCGCCCGATCCGCCGGTCGAGCCCCAGCAAGTAGCCTCCACATCGGAGGATACTTCTCGCCAAGGCCGCGGGCGGAGCTTTCCCTTGTCCGACGATTCCAACGATATTCCCATCATTTCGAAGCCTGCTCATGTCGGATCGCGAGGCTGGCAGTGTCCGCCTGCTTTCGAACCGTCTATGCGATATGCTGTCGACACGCCTCCGCCGGGGGCTTTGACTCTGCCAAGACAACGAGCGAAGGCGGGGCTTCCGATGCAAGAGTCGATCGCGACGACATTGATCATCGGTCGGCGTCTAGCCCCGCGGTGACTGCCGTGGAGGTTGTCGACAAACTTCGACAGCGCCTAATCGATGTCCAGGACTCCGGCCTGGCGGACATCCAGGGTGGCCGGAAAGACATCATCCCGCCGGATCGCGATCACGCCGAAGAGTCAGAGTCAGGAAGGGAGCAACGCAATGTCTCCCCTGAGAGCAATTTCGATGACCTCGAAGGCGCGAATGAAATTTCCCAAGTCGCCTGCCAAACAAAGTGCATCTGCTCCGACTCTCCCGCCGGTCCTCTCGCTGAACCTTCCACCCCTGCCTCTCGCTCGTTCAACACAGCTTCGGAGCTGGGTACTCCGCTCTCCGCATCAATCGTCGAGCACATTCTCGGCGACTCCAAGGCGCACGATCATCCCCGCAGTCCAGCACGTGTGGGCCATCTCCATTCGGACGTCATACTCGAAACGGCCTCGTCGATATTTCTCGCCATTGGCAGGGCGCTCGACGAGCTCCGCGCGAGGAGTCCTGCATGTCAGTGCGACGAGGCGAGCTTGCACTTGTCCCCAGGAGTTTTACCCAGTCCATCTCTGCCCAAAACGCCGTCGGGAGCGACGCAGCATCGCCTCAGGTCGCCCGAGTCGGGTGTGAGCGGCGCACCGCCCACCCCGTGTAGCCCAGAGAGATGACTTGAGCTGGGATGGACAGCGAGGGGAGATGCGCTGCCGACCAAGTGTGACTCAGAAGTGACGCCGCGAGCCAGATACTATCATCGTTATGCACCTACATTACCAGATCTCCATTCCATTGCCTTGAAGGCATCGGATCGGTCAGAAAGTGAGGGAGTGATACGGTGAGACGCCCCGAGACACGGCGTTTGGGCATTATATGCATAACTGCCCTTCTGCGAATTGCGATAGATCCGCCGAGGTGTGCACAGTGATGATGTCCTCTTTTTTTCGATCACATACGCATGTGTACGAGCGCACAACGCGCGAGGTTATCGTTTGAGCGGGACGTGTTGGATCGAGCGGTGCTGCGTGTGTGAGCCCCGATCACTGTACTCCGACCCTCGCGCAGGTGCCAGAGCCATGCAACTCACTCATGTGCGATGCGTGGAAACCCACTTACGCTTACGCCTCGGTGGTCTGCTCAGTCGCCTCGGCCGCCTGCTCCCTCTCGATCGGCTTCATCTCATTGGCGATCTTGGCGGTGATCTTGCGGTCGCCGACCAAGCTTCCCTCGACCTTCTCCACCGCCTCCTTTTGCTGGGCGGGGTCCTCGACCTCGACAAAGCCGAAACCCTTGGAAGCGCGGAAAGGTCGACTACCGGGCTTGCCGCGACGCACGCCGTGGATGACCTTCGCCGACTTGACGGTGATGGACAGGTTGGTGAAGATCGCGGCAAGGGCGTCGTCGTCGACGTTGAACGGGAGGTTGGCGACGAAGATGGTGTTCTGGAACCAAGTGTCAGCGTGCGAGTCTCATCACGAAGCGGTACCCTGAGCGCGGCTCACCTGAGACTGCTCGCCGGTGAGCTCGAGACGAGGCGCACGGGGCTTGCGCTCGCGCTTCTTCTTCTCGGTAGTCGCCGCGACCCCGCCCTCGCCCTCGCCCTCGGCAGCGTCGATGCGAGCCTCCTTGGGCTTGCGTGCGCGGCCCTTGGGTTTCGGCGCGACGGCGTCGGAAGCCTCGCCTTCGACCTCGGCGCCGGTCGCTTCTTCGCCCTCCTCCGGCAGCCTGCGGCGGGGCTTCTGCCAGACGCGTCAGAACTTGCACCTTCCCATCACACCAGTCTTGGCCCAGGACGTCGGCGGACGTCGACTCACCCTCGCAGACCTCTTCTTCTTGGGCTTGCTCTCGGTCGCAGCGGGCTCAGCCTGTGCGGCCGCGGCCTCTCCCTTCTCTGCGGCCTGAGCAGCCTTCTCAGCGGCCTTGGCAGCCTTGGCCTCCTTGCGCTTCTCGTCCGCGGCGTTGCGGCGCTCCGCGACCTCCTCCTTGGACCTCGCCAGCTCGAGAAGGATCTTGCGGCCGTCAAACTCTGTTTGCATCGATCAGCACGAGCCCGTGGCGTCGGTGCAACAGCGCGGCAAGTCGGGTGAACCGGACCCACCTTGGTCGTTCAGCTGCTCAACCGCCTTCTTGGCATCGGCTTCGTCCTTGTATGACGCAAAGGCGTATCCGGCGGGACGCTTGCCGAAGCGGAGGGGAAGGGCGACAGACAGGCTGACAAGATCAGTATCATGTCAAAGACGGACGGGGACAATGTAGAGCAGAGAGTACGGGGCGGGGGACAATGTAGAGCAGAGAGTACGGGGGCAGAGGCCAAAACGCACAGCTCGCCGCCGGCTTTGCTGAGGAACTCGCGAACCTGCTCCTCGGTGGTCTGCGACTGTCAGGACTGAACCTCGCACCCCGCGACTC